AACTCACCCTCCAGCCCCTCCTCCACTGGGCTTTGTTCCTTTCCCAGGCCAGGATGTCACCTGACCTTTAGCTATCTCCGTTGCGGGGGGGGGACCCCAACCCTTAGTTGCCAGGAGACAGTGTCGGCCCTTTATGTGCACTGGCCCTTTGCTCTGCAACAATCCCACCCCCTAGAGACTTAAGAACTGCATAGGGGAAACTGAGGCACCCCTACAGTATTCAGAGGAAACATTAAGAACAGTCCCACTTCGTCACAGGTGGGCTCCCAAATCCTGGGCTGGGCACAACGGAGCCGGAGCCAGTCACAGGCACTTTCTGATCTCCTCGCAGGGGCCCAGACGCTGCGGTGATGGGCCCCAGGGAAGCAGCATGGACAGACGGACGGACGCACCCCCCAGGCCAGGTGGTGACTGTTCCTGCCCTTTAACACTTCATTGACGGGACGTCCCCGGGGCGGCGGGACCCAGGTTCAGGGACGCGCCTTTCCCAGCATGCCCTGGGCCCCTCCCAGCATGCACCAGGGGCAGGAGGGGGCGTCACTTCTTCAGCTCCTCGTACACGTCCGACTGTCGGGGCTGCAGAGTCTGGGGGAAACGGGGATGATTCAGCCAGAGATGCCCCAGGGGGCCATGACAGCCCTTCACATCCTGGGGGGCCCATCCTTTCCCCCCAGTGCTGGGCCCCCTATAACGCCTCCCCTCAACCCTGAGGCTCCCAGCTGGTCCCGCTTTGGCTCACTCTCGCCCCCCCCCCACTGCTCTGGGATGTGATAACCAGCCCCGTTCCCAGCCATAGGGCTTGTTGGGGGGCAGCTCCTCCCTCCCCCCACTGGGTCCAACCCCGCTCATGGGGGAGGATACAGCACAAGGGGCCGGTGCTCACCTGGTACGTGGGGCTGGGGTCAGGGGGGCTCCCGGGCTGGGCCTGGGGGAGACAGAGGCAAGAGGGTTGTTAGCACCAGACCTCAGAGACCCCCCAGGTCACCAGCCAAGCTCGGGGGGGGGACCCTGGGACAGTCAGTCAATGGGACTCCGGGTTTGTGTAACCCCCCCTCCCCCACCCAAAGGGGACAGGGTAAACTGGCTGGAGGCTGCAGGTCGGGACTGAGGGGCACCCACAGAGGAGGGGGCGGGACTGGAATAGCGGGGGGGTGGGGCTGAGCCCTTGTCACTCACCACTGGCCCCGCCCAGGCTGTCGGGGGCAGGTTCTCGTACATCAGGACGGGTGCCTCATTCTCCTTGGGGGTCTCGTTCTGGCAGCGAGAGTCTGGGAGGAATCAGAGACACTGGAATTGGGGCCTTGACTTCCAGCCCCCCCGCTCTAACCACTAGACCCCACTCCCCTCCGGGTACCAGGAGAGAACCCAGGAGTCCTGGCTCTCCCGGGATGGGGGGGGGGCTGTTACTCACAGAGGAAATAGACCGTGACTCCGACCAGCGCTGCCCCCGCTAGTGACCCGATGACAATCCCGGCGATAGCCCCGGCAGAGAGAACTGGACGAGGGGTGTCTGGAGGAGAGATGGGGTGGGGAGGTTGGATCAGACGTTCAGCCACAATCCCCCCACCCGGCTCTCTGCAGCCCGGCACCGCCTAGCACCGCACTGGGGCGTTGGTGCCAGCACTGGGATCCCTGTGTTTGCAGCGCGTTGCTCCATCCCGGAGACTCACCCGTCCCTGTCACCCGCACGGTGACAGACGCCCAGGCAGTGCGGTTGGTGACGGGGTTGTGAGCCCGGCACTCGTACATCCGCTGCTGAGCCCAGGTCGTGAGATTAAAGGTCAAGCTGCTCCCGGTCTCCTTAGTGTCGGTGCCATTGAGAACCCAGCGATAGCTCGGGGCTGGGATGGAGTCGGCAACGCACATCAGGTTCAGAAGAGACCCGAGAGTCAGGGCGATGGGTCCTGGTGGGTCTATCTGGGCAGAGTCCGGCCCATCTACAGAGAGAGGGACAGGGTCAGGGGATGGATGGCGCCAGCGAGGGGTCCCTGTTTAACCAGCACCCTGCCCCACCCCAGAGGCAGCTGCATCGCTGTGGCTGGGTGATGCTGGCAGGACCAGGGGCAGCATGGCCGGGGACGGGGCTGCAGTTACTCACAGGCCACCGTGACGTTGCTGGGCTTGCTGCGGTTGATGCTGACGGGGTTCCCGACCTCGCACTGGTAGGCGCCGGCGTCGCCCCGGGTGACACCCAGCACCGTGAGGGTCCAGTTGTCAGGGGACAGCACCAGCCGCTCACTGGACGCGAGAGATGCCCCGTCCCGGAGCCAGAGCATGGTGTTGACGCTGGGGGAGCTGTTACATGTGAGGGTGAAGGTCCCGTTCTCCAGCACCTGGGTTTGGTTTGGCGTCACTGTGGGCTTAGGCAGGATTTCTGTGCAGGGAACAGAGAGCGCGTTACCATGTGTCCCGGCTCCTCCATGCAGGATTGGGGCTGCTGTCCTGCAGGACTGGGGCAAGGGTGCTGGTGTTGCCACCATGTGAGGATGTGGGAAGGGTCCTTCACCCTTTGCACCTCAGAGCTGCGGAAGCTGGCGGTCGTCTTCTGGACTCCGGCAGAGGGTCCGTCTCCCCGGCGTTGAGTCTCACAGTTATTGGTGCCTCCCTGAGCCCCGTGATTTTTGGGAGACTCTTGGCTGTGGTTCGAAGGGAGAGCGACGCTCCGGCTCCCAGGTCTGTCCCAGGATCCAGCCTGACAACAGCGTTTTTAATGCTTGGTGCCACCGGACGCCCCGTGGGCACAGCCCTGTGCCGGTTCCTTGCCGTCCCCTCTGACCCGGACGGAGCTGCCCACACCAGACCCAGGCCGGGGGTGGGGGTGACCTCGCTGGTGCATCATGGGCAGTCAGCCAGAGTGTGACAAAGTGGGACTATTCTTAATGTTTCCTCTGAATACTGTGTGAGTGCCTCAGTTTCCCCTATGCATTTCTGGAGTTTCTAGGGGGTGTGATAGTTGCAGAGTCTGAGAGGGCCAGTGCACATAAATCACTCACACTCTGTCTCCTGGCAACTGATGGCCTGGGCCCTTCCCCCCTGCACGGGGATGCTAAAGGTGAACAAGAGATCAGGTGACCTCCTGGCCCAGGAAAGGAACAAAGCCCAGAGAGGAGGGGCGGGAGGGTTCAGTTTGGAGCTGGCTGGGGACAGGGAGTGAGGGCAGATGGGGGTGTCTGGTTCACAGCCCCCCAGAATGGACCCGGCGGAGGGGTCCCGTTCTCTGTACCTACGAGCTCTGTTTTAGACCGTGTTCCTGTCATCTAATAAACCTCTGTTTTACTGGCTGGCTGAGAGTCACGTCTGACTGCGAAGTGGGGGTGCAGGACCCTCTGGCTGCCCCAGGACCCCGCCGGGGCGGACTCGCTGTGGGAAGCGCACGGAGGGGCAGATGCTGAATGCTCCGAGGTCAGACCCAGGAGGTGAAGCCGTGTGAGCTTCTTGCCCTGAAGACAGTCTGCTCCGAGGGAGAGGAGGCTCCCCAGAGTCCTGCCTGGCTTTGTGGGGAGCAGTTCCAGAGCATCGCCTGGGGACTCCAGGACATCCAGTTTCACCTTCAGGGACTGGTGAGTGTGACCCCAACAGCGCCCGGCTCCCCCCTGCCGCTGCAGACAGCCCGGGGGGGGCTGGATCTGGGGAGCCCTGGTGCAAAGGTCCCCACAGTGACATCATGACCCCCCCCTCCCCCATAGGCGCCCAAATGAGCGAAGTGGGTGTAAAAGAGCAGGTGGGTCTGACCCCCCCCCGTGATACAGGGGTCTTCCCAGCATTCACCAGGGCCCGTGGGGGGGGGGGGGCTCATCTCCGCAGCTGGTCGTACACACCCCACTGTGCAGCCTGCAGCTCTGGGGAAACAGGGAGGGGTCAGAGACACCCTGGGGATCCGGGGACACCCCCGCCCTGGGGAGCCCAGACCCCCCCCCCACAGGCCCCCGACAGCCCCTCACCAGCCAGGCTCATCCCCGGGGGAGACGCCCAAAGCCCCATCGCTGGGGTGGGGTTGGCGGGGGGAAACACGGCCTGGGATCAGCACAGCTGGGGGCGGGGCACTTACCATAGACGAAGAGATGCACCGTGATGTAGGGGACAGGGCTAGTCGGGCTCTGTATCTGCACCGTGTAGTTCCCGGTGTCGCTGAGCGTTAACCCCGCGATGTTCAGGGCGCAGCCCGGCCCCGCTGTCTCCTGCCCCGTGTGGGCCGAGCCGTTCTGCTGAACGGGGGGTGTTTGTGGGTAGTAGGTGAGGATCCGGCTGTTTTCATCAGTGGTCGCTGATCGGTGCCAGCTGCAGGACACGAAGCCCTGTGGCGGTGGCTGCGGGGCCAGGCTGACGCCCCCTCCCACCACGGGGCTCGGCGGGGTGAGGACGATGGTCACTGGGGTCGGGGTCTGGGCCGGCGCCGGCTGGAGGCAGGAGCCCAGGACGGAGGCTGCGGGTGTGGGACCAGAGAGACTGATACTAACTGGTGCCCCTCACTCCCGACCTGCAGCCCCTCTGCTTTCATTTGCACTGTCCCCTGTTACAGCCCTGTGTGTCCCGGACACCTGGGTCCCGCCCACCCCCGCTCCACCCTCTCAGCTGCAAGGGACCCCTCGCCAGGTGCCGCCCGGCGCCTTTTCCTGCAGCGGGACCTGCCTCGACCCAGGGGCGGCGTCTCTGGGCCGGGACCCTGGAGTCTGGACCCACAGGCAGGGCAGCCCCAGGGGGCCCCTCCGGCCTCAGACTTCCCCTCCCGGCCTCGTCCGCCCACTTCCCCTTCGCTTTGGAGGAAGGAACCAGTGGGGCGGCGGAGGGGTCTTCTCCCGTCTCCCCCCTCCCCCCTGTGGGGTGCCAGGTCCCTGGGTCTCTGCGTGGGGCTGGTTCCGCCTGCTAGATCTGGGGGAGGGAGTTCAGTGGGGGGGTCTGGGTGTCCCCCCCAATGCTCTGGGACAGACACACAAACAAACAGCTGATCCCTGCTAATCCCCCCATGCAAAGCAGAAGCTGGGGGGAACAATGGGGCTTCTATGGGGTCCCTGGGGCTTTGGGGCGCAGCCTCCTGGGAGCCTGGGATGGAACCAGCCTGGGGAGGGAAGTGTCAGAGCCCCCCTCCTGCTACCCCAACCCTGGGGTCCGCCCACCCAGCTCTGCCGGTGCCCCTCAGTCCCGACCCGCAGCCCCTTGGCTTTCATTGACACGGGCTCCTATTGGAGGCCTTTGTGTCCCGGACACCTGGGTCCCACATTCTCCCCTCTGACCTGCCAGGAGAATCCCCGTCCAAGGGCCGCCCGGTCTGTGGGGGATTCGCCCCATCGCCCGTCGCTGCTGCGGGACCCGCCGGGAGCTGCCGGGGCAGCAGAGACGCCTGGTTCCCAGCTGGGGGCAAAGGGCAGAGACGGGGGAAGTGGGCGGGGGGAGCGGAGCTGGCACGAAGCACCTCCCTTGCCCGGCCCAGCGCAGGGACGGGGCAGGGGGTGCGGCCCTTTTGGCACCGTGCCCCCCCTTCCGACAGCCCTGCCTGCCCCCGGGGGGGAGGGGGACTCACCCGCCCCTCCCCCTGCCCCACCCAGACACGCAGTGGGG